TTTTCCGTGAAATTTAAATTCATTTGTAAATTAAATACAGCAAACTCACACGATTATGAGTAATAAAGACTCTTTATTAAAGAGACATTATGTTTTTAGATGAATTCAGATTTCATAGAATTAAAAATTTGATTTTATATGAGAAATTTAATAAATTTTGTGTACGAAAAATAAAAACAGTTTCAAATAATGCTTGTGCAAAAGCAAAAATAGACACAGCAAGTATCATATGAGATTTTAATTTTCAGTTTTGTTGTATTGATTTGATGTATTCCTTGAGCACTTTCGGACACGACATATTCCCTTCTTTTTCCCATGAATCCTCTTCTGAACCATATCCTTTCCATCGTATGAGATATTGTCGACCTCCTTTTCTATCTCGGTGTTTTATTATTGCATCAACTTCATATTCCCGATTGTCTGTTTCTGGTTTATGATTTTCAATTAAGGATGTACTTTGATGCATACCCATGCCAGTTTGATATTGTTTCGTTCGTGCCACTAACAATCGTTGCTCACGTTTTAAATCAGATATGGTTTTTTCATTGATTGTTTTCATTTCGCGAATTTCAATTTCAGCCGCAGAAAGTTTCGATTGGAGCTCCTTCAATTGCATTGAGAATTTCACTTCATTTTCCACGATAGCCTGCTCCAATTTTTGTTTCGAGAGTTGCATTGCATTGCACTCTGCTTGTGACTTTTTAAGAGTCAACAAATGTTGCTGGTTTTCAGTCTTTAGGGCTAATATTTTTTGAATCATAATTTTCTTTTCATCTTGCCATTTGCTTTCAGTCAAGTTATTGGATAAATCATTTGCAATCAGCTCGTTTGACTCACTCGGTTCCGTTTTGACACCAAGTCTACGTTCGATGTCGCGCTCAGTTTTTATTGGAACCTTTTTATTTGTGGGTTTTACAAACGCATTCGATCGGAATTTCTGTAATAAATTCATTGGACAAAATGAAAATATATGATAAAAAATAAAGCACATTGCTCGTACCGTCGGATCAGATATATAATTATCCATTTGATTTACAGCATACTTGAAATCCGATCCTCTTCCTTTTCCAATGAATTTTTCACGATTTTGCGTATAATCTTCAATTTTATCACGGTCAACGAATCCGCTGTATATTTTTGAAGAAAAAAAGGTATTTTCCAGATGTTTGTGGAAAAACATGTGTAATACTCACAATTCTTTCGTTCCAAAAAATAAAACGCACATTTTGCCGCGTGGAGTATTTCCCATAAATGGAGGACTTTCAACGACTCGGGCAGGCCAGTAAGGGCAGAATCGC